ATGGACAAATGGAAGAGCATTCAGTTTTCTAAGGAGGAAGAAGAAGGGATTAAAGCTGAGGTTGAAGAGGTTTGTGAAGGGGAAATCTTGCAACGTACCCTTGCTGGAAAACAATGGACAAATAATAGTTTCAACTCAAGAGCTTTCATTAGTACAATGACAGGGACGTGGAAACTCAGAAACCCAGTTGAAGTCCAAGATCTGAACAAAAATCTCTTTCTTTTTCGGCTCGCTACAAAACGAGATCTAAAATGTGTGTTAAAGAATGGGCCATGGAGTTTTGACAAATATATTCTCATTCTGAGTTGCATTTTTGGTGAAGAGCAACCTTTTGAACATGCATTATGGGACTTTATGGGTGCGAATTTACGAGCTTCCTCTTATGCTTCGCTCAGAAGCCATGGCAAAAAAATTGGGAGGCATCTAAGGCGAATTTGAGGAAATGGATTTGAAAGAAGCTCACAGAAATGGGAGATTCTTAAGAGTCAAGGTGAGAATTGACCTAAAAAATCCGCTGAAAAGGGGGATTGTGGTGCGTTTCAAGGATAAACATTTGCGAGTACACTTCAAATATAAACGCCTTCCTACCTTTTATTTTGTTTGCGGAAGAGTGAGTCACCAGCTCAAAGACTGTGAGGCGGTTGTAGATCTTAGTGAAGAGGGATTTGAAGACCTGGATGAACAGGATCTGTCATTTGGGATGTGGTTACGAGCTTCTCCACTCCCAAGGATTCAAGAGGAACAAAAGATGAAAGACTCAAACTCTAGTTCATGCAGTAGAAGTTTATTCAACACTTCCTCAGGGTAGAGTAGATGTGAGGTTAAAGGAAAAGGAAAAGAAGGGGATGATGGAGAAGTGGAACAAAGAGGAGAATGCATTCAAGCGGTACAAAGTCTTGAAACATTACCCAAACAACAAAAACCAATAGTAGCTTAATCAAAATGGAAAGCGGTTCTGGAAAAAGAAGTCATGGTTGAATCCTTAGGGGAAAGTGATATTTCTAATATTGTTAATGGTCAAAAAGCTAAGCCAGAAGAAGGCGTTGGTAAGAGAAGGAAATGGACGAGAAGGCAAACTATAAGGAAAGTGAAACCAAACAAGCCTGAGAAAGTGGAGGTCGAATGTGGGAAGTGTAACTTAGTTGATGTTATGATCCTGGATGGGACTTTGGAATCATATGGCATAGGAGAGAAAAAACTTAAGGGACAAGATGCAACCTTGGATGAAGTTGAAAAGGAACCAGGGGATGTTATCTCTGATGGTGAAAAAAGAGAGGAAATTCTAGAACACGCAGTCAATTATCTAGTGGAAGATTGCCTTTGGATGTTTGTGGTCTTCTAGATCTAGGTTTTGAGGGTTATCCTTATACTTGGTATAATGGTAGAGTGGGAGAGGATAATATTCAATTCCGGCTTGACAGAGCTCTTGCTACCAACAGTTTCCTCAACAGATTTTCACCAGTTAAGGTGTACCACCTTCCCAGGTATGGCTCAGACCATGTTGTTATTAGGATTGCTCTTGAAGCTGATATTGAAGATATTAAGAGGAAGAGGAAGTAACTTTTTAGATTTGAGAAAGTATGGAGAAAATACCCCAGATGCAAAGCTTATGTCTCTCAGATATGGAATCACAGTCCAGTGCAAACTGTTAACAAGTTTAAAGAGATGCAGGGCATGAGTGATCATTTCAAGGAATACAAGATCAGTTCGATACACTAGGAATTGAAAAGATTGGAGAGCTTGCTGTAAAATGAGACCATAGGGGATTCAGATGAAGCCTCTATTAAAACCCATAGGGCTTTAGAAATTCAAAGGAATAGACTGCTGCAGTTTGATGAGGTTATGTGGAGACAGAAGAGTAGGGCCATTTGGTTGCAATATGGTGACAAAAACAACAAGTTTTTCCATAAGAAGGCTGAGCAAAGGAAGAAAACTAATACAATCAAGAAGCTGAAGGATATGAATGGTCATTGGTGGAGGGGAGAGGATAATTGTGAAAGACTGCTAACCAATTATTTTGAGGAGCTTTTTACTTCTTCAAGTCCAACCAGTATTGAGGAAGTTTGCAGTGTTGTTCAAGAAAAATTGAAGCCTATTCATATTAGCTGGTGTGATGATCCTTTTACCCTCTAAGAAGTCAAGGAAGCACTTACTCAAATGTACCCTCTTAAAGCTCCGGGCCCAGACGATCTTCCAGCCCTTTTCTTTCTGAAATACTGGAACATCGTGGGCCATGAGGTTGGCAAACTCGTTTTGGACATCCTGAACCATGGGAAGGACCCGAGTTAGATTAATTCCACACACATTCCCCTCATTCCCAAATGTAAATATCCCTCTACACCTAAGGACTTCAGACCGATCAGCATTTGCAATGTAGTGATGAAGTTGGTTACAATGACTATTGCTAATAAAATTAAGTGTATTCTCCCTGAAGTCATTGATGAACAACAAATTTGTTTTGTGTAAGGGCATGTGATAACTGATAACTCTTTAGTGGAATCAGAATGCTTTCATTGGCTAAAGAAAAAGAAGAAAGGGAAACATAGTCACATGGCTCTCAAATTAGACATGTCAAAGGCTTATGATCGTTTGGAGTAGCAATTTGTAACAAAGGTGCTTTCTATGATGGGTCTCCCAAGCCATTTGGTGGGTCTTATTGAGAGATTCTTTTCCACTGTCTCTTATAAGGTTCTCCTGAATGGTCAGAAGTGTAGAGTCTTTGCTCCTGGCAGGGGTCTTCGGCAAGAAGACCCACTCTCACCTTATCTTTTTATTCTTTGTGCAGATGTTCTTCCATGACTTATCAAGAAGGAGGTGAAGAATGGCAAGATTCACGGCTTAAGGATTACGAGGAAAGCTCCGATGATTTATCACTTTATATTTGCATATGACAGTCTGTTGTTTGCTCATTCTAACATAAATAAGGCTTCAAAAATGCTTGAGGTTCTTCACAGGTACCAATAGTCATTAGGCCAGGTGGTTAATATAGATAAGTCTGAGGCATCATTCATTCAAAATGTGGATTTAGAAAATAGAGATATGATCCGATCAAGGATGGGAGTAAAGACTGTGACATGCCATGACAGACGTTTGAGTTTACCAGTGGTTTTTGGGAGATCCAAGAAGGAGGTCTTTGCTATAGTTGTGGAGAGAGTTTGGAAGAAAATTAAGGGATGGAAAGAGAAGTTTTTATCATGAGCAGGAAAGGAAGTTCTCATTAAAGCCGTGGCCCAAGCAATTCCAAGCTACATAATGAGTTTTTACAAGTTTCCTTATGGAATTTGCAATGAAATCGAGAGCTTAATTGCTAAGTTTTGGCGGGGCTCAAGGAATGGAGAGAGGAAGGTGCATTAGCTAAGGTGGGATAAAATGGCTAGGGAAAAGAAAGAGGGAGGCATGGGCTTTCATGGTATAAGTGAGTTTAACACTAGCTTATTAGGGAAGTAGTACTGGAGGCTATTTAAGAAGGAATAACCCCTTGTTGGAAGAGTTTTGAAAGGAAGATACTTTCCTAACTATGATACAGATGGGTGCCCTTCTGGTTTTAATCCAAGCTACACATGGAAGAGTATTTTGAGTGCTAGACATGTTGTTCATTTAGGATCGCGATGGAGGATTGGTAATGGCACTTAAGTGTTAGCACTCAGGGATATGTGAATCCCTGGCATTCCTGGTTTCAAGATTCTGCAGCAGGGAAATATTTTGGACACTGAGATGAAAGTTTGTGATTTAATTGATGAGAAGACTGATTGTTGGAAGACAAACTTAATTTTCTCTTCCTTTGAGCATGCTGAAGCTACTCAGATAGTTAACATTCCCTTATCTCAGAGAAATATTGCAGATGAACTAATATGGCTTTAAGAGAAAAATGGAATTTATTTTGTGAAAACAATTTATCATCTATGCATGAATGGTAAACTTGGCTTAAACCCTGGCTCCTCTAGTAACCCTCATCACAACCTATGGAAACTAATTTGGAAACTCCCTCTCCAGAATAAAATCATGAACTTTTTATGGAGATTAGCAAGAAACATTCTTCCCACGAGAGATAACCTTAGAAAGAAAGGTTTGATTCTCAATTCTTCTTGCCTTTTCTATCACTCTTCTTCTAAGAATGTTGATCACCTTTTTCTTGATTGTGTTTTTGCAAAACAAACATTTTTCTCCTCTATCCTTAGTCTCAGAACCCCTTCTAATGTGGGAGCTTGCTTATGGATCGAGAAACTTCTTTCTTGTAAAGACTCCACTATTTCTCAGCTGCTTGGTGATAACGCGAAATCGTATATATATATATATATTGACGTATAATTCAATTAATATTTGACTGGTTTCAATCCGATTTCGGGTTTTTCCATGTTATTTGTCAGATATTTTGCAGGTATTTGAAGATCATGTCCAAACAAAGCAATATGAAGAAAAGAAGCAATTACAGATGAAATATGGACGAAAACCAGATGAAAACAACATGAAAAACAACAGATGTGAATTTTGCTGATGTGACGACCGTCACACATCCATGACGACCGTCACACGGGTGACGACCGTCACACGGGTGACGACCGTCACACACCATGACGACCGTCATGCAGGCAAAAACGTAGAACTTCAGTAAACGTGCAAAAACCAGTTCCAAGTCCCAAAATAATGGACCACTACTTCCTATTTTCTCTGACTCCAAGTCCATCTTCTGCAAGATATAACCGTTAGTATTTCACCTCTATAAAAGGAAAAGGAGGGGAGCTGAGAAAGGGAGCCGCATTCAGATAACGAAGTGCTGCCCAAATATTTTCCAGAGCAAATTTAGTTTAAGTCTTGTTTTTGTTTTCCTTTCCTTTTTCCTGTATTCTATTACTACAATATTCCTTTGTACGCTCTATTGGCTTGAAGACACAATCCTGTCGACATCGTTGGGATTTGGCCAAAAGCCAATTGGATACTTTACAGGTTTTTATTATTTTGTTAATTGTAACTTTACTTCCCAACAGTATGTATGTTCTAAATTTCTGCTTTTATTTACGCTTTACCTGTTCCAAATCCATGTCTAGCTAAACCAGAGCAATCGGTATGTAATAATAATTCAGACGGGATTTGATAATAACCGGTTAAAACCTTTCTTTTTCAAAAGTTATTTATGGCCTGAGTGTTTAAACCTATTTCCTGAATAAACGTTCGTTGCGACAGCGAGAACTTATTTAAAAGTAGTTTTGCCACGACAGTGGGAAATTAATTAAGGTACGAACCAACAAGCGACAGCTGTGGCTAGGACCAGATAGTAAACACTAGGCATTTGTTTTAATAACAGCGAAAGCACTTTAAAATAGATTAGAACTTAGAGGTTTCCAAAAAGCGATTTTAACCCCGAACGGGATAGCGACAGTATACGTTCCGCCTTAAAGTTGCGACTAGCGTCAACAACCAACGTGAGACAAAGGTCTTTA